TTGAAGGTTTCAAATTCAACCCCAGTCCTGCGCGGTTCTTAAATATGGCCCAGTGAAAGCTTTTGGCGGGAAAATCGGGAACCAGAAAGTTGAAAAGTTGAAATCCTGATGTTCCCTGTCCAAATACCATATAGTTGCACTATTAATTTCTTGAAATTCGAGAGCCAGTATGCGAGAAATTCTAGCTACTGGGATTCCAACCGGTCTTACTGGAGCACGAAATACTGCAAAGACGCTTGATTGCAAGGGACCGCCTGGTAAGCTCGCCAGTGATTTTGTATGAGTTCACGAATTTAGAGTATGAAAACAGTTATTTTCATGGGTCGGGAAAAACGACTGTTGCGCTTATTGGAAACAGCTTCGCAAATCGCGCTGCGTCTTCTTTACTTGCTGCCTTGGGGGATTCGTTCAAAGAAATGCGATATATTTCACAGCATGGTTGTAATTTTTATTACGGCTCGGTATTTGCTGGAAATATTTGTTCAGAAGTGCTGAATGCCACACTTACACTGCTCGAAGAAACACGGCCTGACGTTGTCTTCTACGTGGTCTTGTAAGTTTTCAAGTTTGTCTTGCAGTGGGATGAGGGTTATCGATAAAGTTCTGCATAACGTTGGTATTTTGGGATGCGCATCTCAAGCTCAATTATAAATGCTTTCAGACCAATAAAAGAACTTACTTGGCCTCTCGAAAATATAGCCACTGATCGGGTATTAGACGGGCTGCAAAAAACATTTGACAAGTTATCGACGCTTACCAAGAGAATCGTTTTACAGTATCCTGTCGCTACTACAAAGTAAGCTAAATTGATATTTAACCACTGCAAGCTAGTGCCATAATAGTTCGACCAACAAAGCCTTGTTGTAGCGCCGAGTAAAGGCGCACACAGCTTAATAGACTGGACGTATTAATCTTAGTTAAATTACTACTTCTATGTTCTGTAGCCCATCAATTAGCTGATATCTGCTCTTCGGATAGTGCTTATGATTTTGTTTAAGTCAAACAAAAAAATAACTTTCATTTAAATATTGAATACTAAGTAATTTCATTTTCCATTCATAACTCCATTTCATTGGTGCGCAGCAAGAAGCCAAAAATTTTTACATAAAAAGAAGAATCAGTATTACAGAGTCTTTTATAAAGAACTTAATCTCGTGGACTACTTAAATCGGTCGACATAAATTGTTTTTCGTGTTGTAGAATTTTAGGAAATATTTTATATTCTTTTGACAATGATGTATATGCGGGGAGGTTAATCAAAAGCGAAGAGTGGCAGGTGAGGGATGCGAGGAGGAAATGTTGTTATTGCGCACTGGCTGGTGTGGAACGCCAGCTCATGGATAATCCGCAGCCGAGGCTTGGCGAGGAGAAAAAAAGGGAGAATGTTTCTGTGTTTGATCGAATCCCGATGAGAAAGGGATTCTTAAGAGCTCGTAGAGGTAGAATTTAGAATTGGTGGGGAATTTATCGAAAGCTAGCGGTGACCAGGCTTTGTTTTGTTGGAAAACATTGCTTTGTGTTCTGTTTTTTGAAAATTTTATTCTTTCTGGGCTGTGCTGAAAAAACATAATTGGTTCTGCAAAGCACAAGTGTTATTTGATCAAAAGCCACACAGCTGATCAACACTCAATAAACGAGAAACAGCATCATGAAAAACGCAAAAAACATAAGATTGAGCAGGCAACGGAATTATTTTCATTCTAATCTGGGCAGAAGGAAAATAGAAACTTCATGCTATTAATAAAGCGATAATTTGGAAATAAATGAATCCGCTTTAAAAAACTAGGAAGCTCACGTTTACTAATATTGGCATCAAATGGCCTTGTTCAAACAAACAAGGACACAAGTATGAAGGGTAGGAATACACAATTAGACACATCAGATTCTAGTTGCGAAAACCAACTTTTATGGATTTTAGATGCATCTGTAATTCACAGTTACAAAATTTTAGTGCGGAAATGCAGAATCTGCTGGTGCAGCTAACCAGAGGCAATTCGCTAGGGATAAATAATCAAGTTAAGTATCTGTGGGAACGGGAGCGCTATTCGTTTGAGCGGTACGACGCATTGAAATGTAACAAATGCACAAGATTTTATCCTCATCGATACTTCTGCGATAGCAAGGTTAGTCTTGCATTGAAGCGGTGCTTTTTAAGGCAACAAAACTTATGTTTTCGACTGAACTTCAGATACTTCCTCAGTTATTGGCGACACACACCAGGCGGGCCGGTGCGATCAAGCGTTTTTGTCTGTTTCGTTTTGCAGTTAGGCAGCTTGGATTCTCAGTAACTAGAATTTGTGAAAAACTAGTCCACGAATTTCAGGAAGTTAATTGTGCAGCTACGGGGTGTGTCATTTGTCGATTTTCGGCTATAGTGGCCGACAAACAGAAAGTTGCTGGTGAGCAAAAAAGACTCCGCAAGAAGCATCAATCACTGCTTGCAAGCAATGCTTTTGCTACAGCGGAAGCAAACATCGCTAGTATAATGCTATAATGCAAATTTGCATAAACATGGAAAATGCTTCCGTAGGTGAGACCCGAGTGGTGCTACAGAAGCTGAATTTGAAATCTTCTAGTGCTGCATGAATAGGGAGGAATTCCCTTAAAATTCCAGCTTTCTAGCTTTTCTCTTTCCCGAGTTAGCAATTTTCTCGCCAAAATTTTCACGTTTCGTACGTGAGACATGAACGGCTGTAAGGAACTGAATTTGAGTTAGGAAATTTCCCTAAAGTTTCAGCTTCCTAGCTTTTCTCGTTTCCGAGTTAACGATTTTCCGCTGAAATTTTAACGTGTCCATACGAGAGACGTGGACGTACATGGTAGTTGATATCACCTTCCTGAGGTAGCACTTTGGCGAGGAAACACATTCAGTAAAATTTCAGCGTCAAAGCTTGCATGGTTGCTGAGTAGAAATATCCGGACAGACGAAAAAGTACACACGCAGGTAGGGTAGTAGCAATATGCGTCCTTGCTACCTGTTGTATCCCTCTAGTGCTGCACGGCAAAAGCGTACAAAAAAAAGTCAAAAAACAAAATCTCATTCGCAGTTTTGAGGCAAAAGCGCTCAAAAGTGAAGCAACTGTCGATAGCAACCATATCGCAGAAAGACTGTCGATGGTTTTCACTTGTTCAGTTTGCTTAAAAATAAGCTGACTGAGGTTTGCAAAGTCCTTGGATGTGCTCTTTCTTTGCCATGCCCTTGTTGTTTAACAACATGCATTTTTGTTCATTCTTGCCTCTCTCTGACAATCTTTTCGTGTTTTTTATCGTTCTGTGGTTACCGTTTAACTACTGTTTATTTGCTGTCTCTCATTGTTACCATAGGGAAATCCCATCTGACACATTAATAGATTTTACGAAATTTGTATGCAGAAAACCTCCGAAATAAGTATTTTTTTCCTTGCAGTATTGCCACACATATGATACATCGAATTTTATTTCGTTCTACAAAGATTCCCATTTGAACGATTATGGTGGTGCATTCATGACGAAACTCTATGCAAATATAATCGCTGAATTACGCGCTCGTCGCTACATCGATTAGCATTGCGGATACTTGCAAATGTGTGTAAAAGCTGTTTGATGGCTTACTTGTCAGTTTATTGTTTTGTAAAGCAGAACAGCTTCGATTTATGGACTGTAAAAGCAATGTTTTGAATACAGCCTTATTTCTATCATAGAAAAAATCCAATTTTCCATTCCCGTCGAGAGTTTTCTCATCGTGGGATTTTCGTTAGGGTTTTCTCATCGTAGACATCGTCAACGACGGTGAAACTGGACTCTCTTCACATGAGACTATTTTAAAGCATGTAGCAGTTTGAAACATGGAATGCCTTTCAGAAATAATGATTTGAGATATGCACTGCAGGATTATCCTTTGTGAAAGGGAATGATCCGATCGACGGTTTTGAGTCCAACTACATCTTTGTCAGGTCCTGCTACCTGTTGTCCTTCTACTAACTCGGCCATGCATTATTCTGTGCGCTATTTCAAGTGAATTCTGTGATCCACTCTTGCATTAGTCATAATTGCGTGATTAAATAAACTGCACATTTTGATACTGGACTAACTCTGCACTGCTCATAAAAGGTTCCTTCGATTCATCGACATATCTACGCATGGCACCAAAACTCACTGTTTGATCAGGCGCATTTTGTGCCCTTATTCGATGCTTGAAACGACTGCCAGTTCATCACTGGCTCTTCGATGATGCAGCCAATAACCACGTCATCTTCCATTTCCGTTTGATTGTCTTGGTTCATTGCCGTCATTCCGGTGGCCAGCTTATTGCCGATTTCGACAATCTTTTCGTCTTTTTAAAGGATTGCAGGTTCAAATGTTTTTCTAACCAAAGCACTTTGGCAAGGCTTTTTCCACTTGGAAGTTCA